ATGAGGCCGGAGGCCAATGACATGTAATTTATATCCCATGTAATTTTCGACTCCATGAAATATTATGAATATATTGAGAAATGTTAAGTTAATGTTTTGCCATGGTTGCATCGAGTGTGGGAATTCCATTTTCATTCTTTCACTAGGTCTCATTAATCTTGTATGAAGTATGGCCAAGGGCCAAACAGTCATTGACTCCGTTTTATAATTTTAGTTTTCAAAATTTCCGTTTCAAGTTCATTTTCGCCGTTTTGGCCGTTGGGGGGTCGGATTTTGACTCGGCCATTTCGGGGAGTTTCGGACCATTCCCGCGTGCTCAAAATCATCATTTACGTTTGCGTGAATAATCGTTTCCATGAAAAACCATTTCGTTTGTGTTTTGAGCCTCCTATGGACTCATTTCACCTTTTTGTTGAAAAACTCGTCCCAAAGGCATTTTGGGGATTTTCTTTGGGAAATAAATTCTGTTCTCAACTTTGTCACATAGAAAATGTGATTTTAAAGAGAGTTTCTTCACGACATTTTTCTGAAAAATGTCATCTTGATCTTGAAAATCGTGCTCTAAACTCATTTTTCTGCAAAAACTTTGTTTCTGCTGCATTTTTAGCATTCTGTTCAAGTTGAACCGGTTCAAGAATAGTTGAACCGGTTCAAGGTTTCATTTTGGTTCAGCTTGGGCATACTACCAAAGTTGAACCGGTTCAAGAAATGTTGAACCGGTTCAAGTCTTCCAGAGTTTTCAGTTTTGGACTTTGAACTTCAAACTAATGTAACTTTTTCGTTTTAACTGCGAATTGGTCCGTTCTTGAGTCTAAATTGACCGCGTCGAAATTAGCTTTCCAATGGTACTAATTTTAGCTTCAGATTATTTTCCTAACTCAAGATATCCTCGTTTTAGTGAGAGGGTGTCGGATTTGGTTCGAATCGGGATTGGGCTCTTTTGAGATTTCTCTTCCTTTGGCCTTGGGACTTCATGTGAAGTTGCCAAAGGTTGTTTTTGAATTTTTTTGATCTCATTTGACTTATTGGTTGTCAAATTCCTTCCTCTTAGGGTAAAATGACCATTTTACCCTTGGTCCTTCCTTCGGTAGGGTTTTCATACCCTTGTCTTTATTTTGCTTCCGCACTTTATTCCTTTGGGTTCCGTGTGTGTTATGCCTTGGGAGATCATTGTCTTATTTCTTACTTCCGCATCTGGATCCGTTAATGGATCAATCTTCGGTTCATCACTGTAGTACCGGGTTGATTAAAAACCCGGGTCGTTACAGATTTGATAATCGGTTTTTGACTTAATAAAAATTGATCAAGTCTTTGAGAAAGAGTTTTGACCTTGGCTGCAATCTCCATTGGACTTTCAATTTGACACACTTTCAAATTTTTCTTTTTATTAGAATCATGACTCAACCTTGAAATGTGACATTTATGGAATGAATTTTTGCTCATTTTTTCAAAAAGGTGCTAAACATTATCTTCATGCTTTCCAAAATATGAACCTCCACATAATGTATCAACTATGTCTTTATGAGTGGTGGATAAGCTTTCATAGAAATATTGAACCACTTGCCATTTTGGAATTCCATGATGTGAACATTTTCTTAGCAAGCCAAAGTTCTCCTTCCCCATGAGAAAATTCTCTAATGGCGATTCTCATTGAATTGGTCAAACTTACGGGGTAAATTTTTTTCAAAAATTCATTTTGCATTTGTATCCAAAAAGTTATTGAATTTGCCCCTAAGTTGTTGAACCAATGTTTCGCCTTATTTTTAAGAGTAAAAGGGAAAAATGAGTAACTTAAAGACTTCCTTCGGGACATTCATGTATCTCACCGTGGAACATATTTCAAGAAATTCATCAAGATGTTTATATGGTTTCTCATCATTTAAGCCATAAAAAAATGGACACATTTGAATAGTCTCGGGCTTAATTTCATATTGATCGACCCCAAAGTTAGGAAGCATGATAAAAGTCGGTGCATGGTATTCATGAAAGTTGTAATGATTACAAAGGATCATTGGATGAATTGGAGCTTGAGGAGGGTGTTTCATGAAATTTGGGTCTAGATAACCAAGATGACGCTCTAGATTTTCCATTGATATGGTTATGATGAAGGGTTGGCTAAGACCGCACAAAATTCAAGCAATGCAACAATAAAATCACAAAATAAGCACTTCTCATTTGCAACAAGTTAATCAACAATCCTCCACATACAATGATCCCATACTCCCATACTTTCAACAATATGTAAGAAAAATAAAGTGCCTCCACACGGGCTCACGATCTATCTAAGAAAATAAAGACTTTGCCTCCACGCGGGCCAACGATTTAACTAGAGAAAGAGTTTAGAAAAGCTCACAAAGGGTCCTTAAGCAACTTCAAATTTTTTTTCAAATTTTTTTTTTTTTTTTTTGCCTTATTTTGCTTTGCAATTTTTTTTTTTTTGAGCTTTTTATGCTCTTGCTTAGCTTTACTTGGCTTGATTCTTTTGCTTTTTCCTTTGGTTCATCCTCTTGACTCAATCACTTAGCCAATCAAGAACAAACACAATAAGTAAACAAAATAAAATAAAATAAAAATAAAGACAAGATCAAAAGAGTACTAATTCTTAATTAATTTAAAAAATATGATAGTGCCAATCCTCGGCAACGGCGCTAAAACTTGGTGTGGTGTCGAGCCAACAAGCAAGATGAAGTGTGTAGTGTGGCCAAGTTTAAATTTAGAGATTGCCACTACCACTTTTAACTATAAAATATAGCTAGAGTGAGTAGGAATCATCCCAAGTGAAAAGAGGTGTATTTGTACTTGGAAATTAATGTCGGATTAGTAGGTCAAGAGATCAACGATGATTGGTGGTTGATTAAGTGAACTATAATGCAATTAAAAACAATGCAAATAAGTAGCAATCTAGAAAGTAGGAAAAAATATATAAAGAAGGAGTCTTGGGACTTAGAGTCACCACTAAGCTTTACTTCATCAAATACTAGCAATTGTATATTAATGGGGAAATTTAAGTTGTAACTTGTGTGTGTTCTCACTAATTGAAACTAAGCATGGATGACAAATAATTATGGATTATCTAGCCAATTTTAATGAATAGCACAACCCATCAAATGAGACCAATATCCATTCAATTAAACCACAATTAATGCACACACAAATATCTAGAGACATACACTCTTTGCATTCACAAGTATGGAATATCAAACAATAATAATGGATTGTCCACCTCCCTAAGAAATTGAAGCAATTACACTACAACTAAGGTAGAGGCATGGAAATTAAACTAATTAAACTAGAGATGTGGCACAATCCATCAAGAAATAAGTATGACCTACCAAATAAACTACAAGAGTGTTCAATTAAGCACCATACTTTGACCATCACTAGATTAACATCATCAATACACATAGACATGCATCAATTTTATCAAATTTAGAGACAAGAATATGAACATCAATTATAGCATATATAGACATATGAATAGAACCAAATGATCAATTGAAAACATTAATCCATATAAATCAAGTAGAAATTATAAGATCTATATGTATTCATGGTCAAAACATCTATTACAACTAAAATCTCCAAAAATACACAAAAGCTAGGTTTGAGAAGCAAGCCTAGCTAGGGGCTATCTCTAACCCCAAGAGAATGATTTAGCCACTCATTGTAGTGGTCATGGAACCCTCAAGGGCTACCTTGAAGGTTGGTATCATCATCTCCATTATTGCTTTCTTCCTAAAACCCTAGTTTTAGAGAGATGAATATTTTTTTTTTCTTATAATTGGTAATATCTATATATGATGATATAATACAATATGGTTCAGTAAATCAATTACATACTCTTTTGAGTAAGGACCAAGTCAGAATTATAGCCTATGATTGGAGAAAATTCACAGCTACACAAGTTAAGTAGAAATCGGCGTGCTCGGGAGTTAAATAGCTCACTGCCAGCAGTATTTTCGATCGATCGAATATTCTCGATCGATCCAACACTTAGCTTCAATCAATCGAAGCTGACGTGGTATCAAAAATATCTTCTGGGCCTTATCCGCTTTACTGAGCTCGCACTGCCTCATTTCGATTGATTGTAGACCTCTTCGATCGATTGGGATTCCTTTCGATCGATCGAAGCTCCTCTGGTGCAATTTCTTAACTTCTTTCCAACTTTGCTCATTAGCTCCAAAATTGATCTAAATGGTTCTTGTTAGCCTGTTTGAACTTTATTAACCTGAAATCGGTAAAAACACAAATAAGTATCTAAGACATGAAAGTAAGATAGATGAATGGACTAAGATACTCTAACTTATGTGCTAAAATACGTCACATTTGAGCACTCATCATAAGGGACTTATATACACTACATAAGCCCTTCTGTGTTCTTTTTTGAAAACTTAACGGATTTCTATGCCAAAAAAAAAAAAAATGGTAAGAATGTTAATTGTCCAAAATTATTAAAACAATAGGGTGTTTTTCTCACTTTGCCCTATTTTGTTTTAAATGGGGAGGGACTTCGCTAACTCAAGTGATTCACCCATGAGATAATATTTTATTTTTTTATTCCGGCAAATTATAAGAGGGATCCGAATATAGCAATGGTTGGTGGGTGTGCAGATCATTGTCCACGAACAAAGGTCATGCTCACACATATGAGTGGATTATTTGCTACTCCCCCGTCCCATATTAGTTGTTCGTATAAAAAATTTTGATTTATAATTTTTGTGAATTAAAGTTACCGAAATAGATATCTAATATAAAATATAGATAAAAGTATAAAAAATGAATATGACTAAAAATAAACTTAAATGCGGTAGTGAATCAAAATTTTTGTAATGGACAACTATTATGCAACGGAGGTAGTACAACGAAGCAACAGCGCGTGGACGAGCTTGACCGTTAAACGGCTGGCACGAAGAGTTAGATACCGTACATATATATGTGTAATGCATGTGTGTATATATATATTGTTGTATACACGTCGAGCGTCGAGGGGAGCACGTTCCAGAAGTCTTAAACTGTGTCCCCCCATTTGAAGCGGTTTGCGTGTCGTTGTGCAATGCTCCCTTTCCCGCGAAAACCACTCTCTCTCTCTAAACCCTCAATCCTCTCTCCAAATTTCCATCTCTCTCCTTCAGATTTTCTACATCACACTTCAAATTTTCTTTCTCTATCTCTCTTCCTTTATATATATGTATATATCTAAACTTACTTTTTTTTTTTTCCTTCTCTCTAAAATTCCCTATTTTCTCTCTCTTCTTAAACTTCCAATCATCTTCGAATGATTTGTTTCTTTTACTGCAATTACTCTTTCTCGCGATGCGATGAGGAAGAAGCAGATCTCCATATGTTTACCTATCATCAATGTCGACTCCTTCTTCAGAGGAAAACCCTATGAATCCGCCATTACCGGCGCTCACGTCTGACCAGAAAGATTCACCCAAGACACCGTCGTCCAAGGCCAAGCTCAGAAAGATACCTCCTATCCCGATTCGCCGAAGCCAGAGCAGAGTCGAAACTGGAGAAGAAGATGAAGAAATTTCAGATGAAGACCGCAATAATGGTAATGGTGAATCGACACATCGTGAGGAGGAGGAGGAACGACCACCACCGCCTATTGTTCTTGCTTCGTCTCTCGGCCTCAATCACATTCGGACCCGCTCGGCTCCTTTGCCTTCGCCCCTTAGGTTCTCGTCTTCGGCGGGAACGTGTTCCAATCTTGGAATAAAAGAGGCAAACAATTCCAATACTATCAGACTAAATGATACAAACAATTCCAATAATTTTGGAATAAACGATGAAAACATTTCAACTAATCTCGGAAATGAGGCAAACAGGGGAAAAGATGGAGTAAATTCTCGGCCCAGGTTGCGCAGTCCGCTTCAGCACGCAGCATCCATGGAAGAAGGTTCTTAATTCCCTTTTCCCTGTTTATTTATTTATTTATTTTATGTCTGTATATGTGTATTGGCAAGAGATGTTGATGTAAAATATTGAAATTTGAGTTATGTTTTGTTGGTATGAAGAAGTAGAATAGGACAAAATGTAAACATTAGGGTTTTGAATTTTATATATGCCATCAATTTTGAAACTGGAGTGAAACCCCAATTTTGAATTATGCCAAGATTTAAACCCCGTGTTTTGTCACCAGTTGCTGATTTGTGCCTTTATTATGAAATTTGGAGGTGTTTTTATTTTCAATGGTGTATAATTCTTTGTAGGCAAAAAGGTGCACTGGACTCAATCTAAATCCTTAAGAGTCCCATCGCCACGCTGTTTGGAGGTAAGTTAGTTGTTAAATTCTCTTTTTTTATTTTCTTTTGTTTCTCAAGTTCTTGCCCCTTGAAGTTAGTTGGGGAATTAGCTAACTCAGGTTAATGTCATTGTGCTTATTGTAGGGTCATCATGCAGCTTTTGCCAAGGAACTTCAATCTCCACGATTCCAGGCTATACTGCGTGTTACAAGCGGACGTAGAAAGAGAGCCCCAGATATCAAGAGCTTCTCTCATGAACTCAATTCCAAAGGAGTACGGCCTTTCCCATTCTGGAAGTCCCGTGCATTTGGACACATGGAGGCATTCACTCTTCACTTCAAGTTCCTATTTTCATTGTCAAATCACATTGCTTTTCCTCTTTCTGTTCTGTGCTTCGTTGAGTAATTATTTGCTCCCATTCTAATAGTTCAATTTATTCCTAATGTTGATTATTTTCCAGGAGATCATGGTAATGATCAGGGCAAGGTTTGGCAAATTAAAAGAAGAAGTTAATGCTGATTTAGGTATATTTGCGGGAGATTTGGTGGGTATACTTGAGAAAACTTCAGAGACCAATCCTGAATGGAAAGAGGGTTTGGAGGACTTGTTAGTCATAGCCAGGCAGTGCGCAAAAATGTCACCTAATGAATTTTGGTTGAAGTGTGAAGGCATTGTTCAGAATCTGGATGACAAACGCCAAGAGATACCAATGGGTACACTAAAACAAGCCTATACGCGCCTTTTGTTTATCCTCACTCGATGCACTCGGCTTGTGCAGTTCCAGAAAGAGAGTGGCTATGATGATGAACACATTTTGGGTCTTCACCAACTTAGTGACCTTGGGGTCTATCCAGAAAAACTCTTCGGGCGTGCAAACCAGGACTTCAATAGCTCATTTGAGGGGAAGGAAGCAAGTGAGAGACGGACCATGAAGGCCCACGAGCAGGACCCAAGCAATCAGGCTACTGAACAAGATCAGATAAATCTGCACTTAGGTAGTGTGGGTGACACTTTGGAGGTGAGCACTGCTAAAAGTGTTGCTTCATCTACAGGCAGTTATAGGATGTCATCTTGGAAGAAGCTTCCATCTGCAGCTGAGAAAAACCGAAAAGGCGCTGATGCTGTTGACATTCAGCCTAAGGATAAATCTGATAGCTTGCATCTTAAAGGTGAAACAGCTGGCATTGACACTAATGTTGAAAATCCAGATACTCCCTTATACCTTCCCGAACATTCAGAGACATCCTTGAAAGCACGTAAAGGTACCTGGGGATGGGGTGATCAACAAAACCTAACATTTGAGGACTCGTTGATTTGTCGAATATGCGAAGTTGAAATACCAATTGTGTATGTAGAGCAGCACTCTAGAATCTGTACAGTTGCTGATGGATGTGATTTAAATGGAAAATCAGTGAATGAACGACTTCATAGAGTTGTGAAATCTCTTGAACAAATACTGGAATCGTGGACACCAAAAAGCTCAGATACTGCAGTGGGAAGTCCTGAGGCCACAAGAATGTCTACATCAAGTATGCCTGAAGAGTTCGATGATTTGTCACCTAAGCAAGCCAGCTTGCCTCTTCGATGCTCAGAAGACATGCTCGATTGTGTTTTTGAATCTCATAATACATTTGTAATGGGTGATCTGAACATATTGCCGGACACTTCAGGTGAAACACAGGCCCTTTGGACAACTGATCTAGGTAATAAAGCCTCCTCAGCAGGAAGCTTGACACCACGATCACCATTATCAACTCCAAGAATGGGCGAGATTGAATTGCTGTTGAGTGAACGGAGAACAATATCAGAGCATGAAAATTTTCAGCAGGTATGAATTGTACAACCCCACCCACCAAATGACTTCTCATTCTCCCGTATTTTCTATAATTACTTCATGATCAGTCATTTAATTTCAGTTGTTGTATGGATAATAAAGGCTTCACTTGATGTATGAAAAATGGCAGACAGTGTACACTGATTAAACATGACTAGAGAGAGAGAGAGAGAACATGGTGGCTACACAATGTGTATTTCATATATATATCAAACCCTAAGCCTACTACAGTGGCTTATATAAAGATACAAGACTCAGCTAATTACACAATGACCCTACCAACTATATGTAATTACATAATGACCCAAAATATTCTAACACTCCCCCTCAAGCTGGAGAGTATATATCAAATAATCCCAGCTTGGAACAGATAGTCCTTAACCGATTATGACCCAATGCTTTGGTAAACGTATCAGCTAATTGATCTTCAGACTTCACAAATGGAGTAGAGATGCTCCCACTGAATATTTTTCCTCGAATGAAGTGACAATCAACTTCAATATGTTTGGTCCTCTCATGAAACACAGGATTTAATGCAATGTGAACAACTGCTTGATTATCACAGAACAATGGAGTAGGAGTTTCAACTGTCAACCCAAGTTCTTTTAGAAAATGTTGTATCCAAGTCAACTCACTAGTTGTATGGGCCATTGCCCTATACTCAGCTTCAGCACTAGATCGAGCTACCACCGTTTGCTTTGTACTTTTCCATATAACAAGATTTCCTCCTACAAATGTGCAGTAGCCTATAGTAGATCGCCTGTCTGAAGGAGAACCAGCCCAGTCAGCATCTGAAAAACCTTCCACCCTGAGATGACCATTTGATTTATATAGTAACCCAAAACCTGGAACTTGCTTGAGATATCGGATAATTCGAAGAACAGCAACCCAATGTGGCATTCTAGGAGCTCCCATGAACTGACTTACAACACTAACTGTATATGAAATATCAGGACGAGTGATAGTGAGATAAATTAATTTCCCAACAAGGCGACGAAATCTGCCCAGGTCATTAAATAGATCACCTTCATCAGACACAAGTTTTGTATTTGAATCCATAGGAGCATCAACTGGACGACCACCCAACATACCTGTTTCTTCTAACAAGTTCAACACATATTTGCGTTGAGATAAACTTATACCCTTCTTGGATCTAGCAACTTCAATACCCAAGAAATACCTAAGTTTACCCAAGTCTTTAGTATGGAATCGATTTTGCAGAAACAACTTCAACTTAGCAATGCCTTCAGAATCATCACCCGTGATCACAATATCATCTACATACACCATAAGAAAAATGAAGCCAGTTTTAGTGCGCTGGTGAAATACCGAATGATCGGTCTGGCATCTGTTAAGACCAAATTCTAATGCCGCCTCAGAAAATTTTCCAAGCCAAGCCCGTGGAGATTGTTTCAATCCATACAGGGCCTTTCTAAGGCGACAAACAGTGTGACGATACTCCCCCTGAGCAACAAACCCTGGTGGTTGCTCCATATAAACTTCTTGAACTAAGTCACCATGCAAGAAGGCATTCTTGACATCCAATTGAAACAAAGGCCAGTGACAATTGGCAGCAATGGATATAAGTACCCGAATAGAAGAAATCTTAGCAACTGGAGAAAAGGTCTCATCGTAGTCAATACCACAAGTTTGAGTGTACCCTTTTGCTACCAGACGAGCCTTCAACCGCTCAATAGACCCATCGTGAAGGTATTTAACAGTATAGACCCACTTACAACCAACCGTTTTGGAGCCCGGAGGTAAGGGAACAAGATCCCAAGTCCGATTACAGTGCAGGGCATTCATTTCATCTACCATGGCGTTGCGCCGATCCGAATTAGAAAGAGCATCCTGCAAAGTCTTTGGAACAAACGTAACAGACATTTTGGATAAAAAACAAGATAAAGAGGAGGAAACATTATGGTAGGAGACAAAGTTAGAAATGGGATGTGCAGTAACACACGACCGAGTACCCTTACGGAGAGCAATAGGCAAATCATCAAGCAAAGTAGATGGCGTCGGATCCGAAGACTCTGAAGCAGATGGAGGGAGCGAAGTAGGCGGTCGAGGTCGTCGAGTATAAACCTGCAAGGGGACAATAGAGCGAGGAGGTGTGTGTGCAGGAACCAGAGAGGAAACAGTTGGCATAGGTGGCTCTAGAGTAATATCGAGAGGGGTAGTAGAATCAGAAAAAAATTGGAGAGACTCAGAAAAGGAGACATCAGCACTAGTGAAATAGCGCTGAAAATGAGGACTGTAGCAACGATAACCCTTCTGAGTGCGAGAATACCCAAGAAAAACACACTTAGTGGCACGGGGGTCGAGTTTGTCAAGACCGGGCCCCAGGTTATGGACATAACACACACATCCAAAGACCCGAGGAGTAAGATTAAACGAGGCGGAGTCGGGAAATAGAACAGAATGAGGAGACTTCCCTTTTAACACTGACGAAGGCATCCGATTAATAAGATGACAGGCTATAAGAACAACATCACTCCAAAAATGTTTGGGAACATGCATATGGAATAAAAGGGCATGACATACTTCAAGGAGATGACGATTTTTACGTTCAGCTACTCCATTTTGTTGAGGAGTATAAGTACAAGATGATTGATGAATGATGCCTTTAGCATGAAAATAAGTCTCAAACGGGTCCGAGAAATATTCTTTGGCATTGTCAGAACGTGAAACTTTAATGGACCATCCAATTTGAGTTTTTATTTCTTTGCGAAATATTTGAAAAATAGAGAATAACTCAGAACGATTTTTCATTAAAAACAACCAAGTCATACGAGAATGATCATCCACAAAAGTCATAAAATAACGAAATCCATTAAGAGAAATATGTTTTATTGGGCCCCATACATCTGAATGAATTAACTGAAAAGGACTAGTAACACGATTGGTAGCTCTTGGTTTGAAAGATACATGACAATGCTTACTAAACTGACATGCTTCACAGGGCATGGACTCAACACGACTAAGACTAAGACTGGGGACTTGACGCTGCAAAACTGATAAGGATGGGTGGCCGAGACGACAGTGCCACTGGAAAGGAGACAAAGATGATTGAAGAGCCGTGGGAGATGGTCCAAGATCAAAGTAATACAAGCCACCTACTTCATGTCCCGTACCAATCTTCTTCATCGTCTTGAGATCCTGAAAAATACAACAGGAGGGATAAAATGTAACGGAGCAATTAAGAGATTTAGTATTTGACTAATGGACATCAAATTAAAAGGGAATTGAGGAATAAATAATACAGAGGAAAGGGATATAGAAGAGGTGAGTTGGGTGGTTCCCACACCCAAAACTTTAGTGGAGGAGCCATTAGCAAGAGTAACACTTCGTGATGAACAGACTGAAAATCAGATAAGAGATGAGAACTACCAGTCATGTGGTCGGATGCGCCAGAGTCAAGAATCCAGAGACTCTGATGAGGGGATAAGAGACATGCAGGTGCAATACCTGATTGGGCAAAGGAAACCATGGAAGATGAGGTGGAAGGCCGTTGTTGAGACATAAACTGAGCATACTCATCGCGGGAAACTGTCATGCTGACCATAACAGGCTCAACAGCCACTTGTGGAGCATTTGGTGTGGCAGAGAAAGAAGAATCCCCTTCATTAGAGGTTACTTGGTGTGCATAGGAAGAAGGTGGTGGTTTCCCATGAAGATCCCAACAGTAATTGATAGTGTGATTAGTAAGACCACAGTGAGTGCAGAGTTTTGAGTCTCTACCTCTGCCTCTGCTACGACCACGACCACGAGTAAACCGACTGCCACTGCCACGAGAAGGCTGATAACCACCCTGGTTCACAACTAATGCAGAACGTTCACTGCTAGGAGGAGCAGTGACACCACTTGAAGCACCCCCGGAAGTGCCACTAGATAGAGTAGCACGCTGGAGTCTGGAGAACATATCAGGAAGAGAGGGAAGTGTATGGCTACCCAAAATCTGTGCACGAACTGATTCATATTCAGTTGACAACCCCGTGAGAAACCAAACAACATTAAAATCCTCACGTTGTTGTTGCATGCTCTTCACATCAGAGGTGATAGGCTGATACAAGTTCATTTCTTCACAAATTCCCATTGACTAGGAGAAGTATTCTGCAAGACCATGAGTACCTTGCCGGAAGTCAAAGAATTGTCTGCACACCTCATAAATTCTGGTGATATTATCAGTACTTGAATATAGCTGTTGGAGGCGATTCCATATCTCCTTGGCAGTATCCAAATACAACAGGTGGGAGCTGATATATTGTTCAATACAATTCAGCATTAAGGAAATGATCTGAGCATCCCTTTGGTCCTATGAACTGAAATCTGCATCACTGTCTTTAGGCTTATCCTTAACCAAATGAGAGCCAAAGCCTTTGGCTTTTAGAAAAATAGTTACGGACTTGGCCCATAAAATATAGTTCTTACCATTGAGCTTGACAGAAGTCATGGGAGGATTGAAAGAAGCAAAAGAAAATAGGTCTGAACCGGTAGCCATGGAGAAGGAAAAAGAGAGAAGAAAACCGAACCTGGGAAAAAAAAAAAAATTTGAATCCAGATCTGGGCAGGCGGGACGGATCTGGGCAAACGGGCCGGATCTGGGCAAACGGGCCAAATCAAAACCAGTTCTTTGCTATTCCGGTTTTAGAAATCCAAGGTTGGGATAACTTCACGCCTGCAGCACCCTTCTCCTTCACAATCAGCGCCGGCAAGAACCAGATCTATGCCACCGACCATAAACTCCAATCACCCAAGGTTCGCAATGAAGAATCAAGGCTAGTACACACCTTAGCCCTTGCAGTGGTGATGATGGCAACCCAACACAAGCGCGATTTAACAACCAAGCAGAGAGGGTTCGCGATGATGGAACCTCTGCAACTTGCGACAGCCAAGGCAGCCTCGGCCTACAAAACGAAGGGCTTCAGATCTGAAAACGATAGACAAGAAGCGCTGAAACCATAACACCATGAAAAACCTCTAGCTCGAACAGA